CTGGGGCTGAGTCCGTAGAAGTCGCCTCGTCCGCCCCACCAGCCCTTCAAATTTTTCCCTTTCAACCAGGCCATGTGCAGGCGCTCCATCCGCCTGCTCCTCCGGCAGCGCCCAGCTGAAGAGTAAGTCAAGTCGCGTCAGCACTTCCCTCCACCTGCTCCTTCCCGCAGCTCAGCTCAAGGTAGAGTCAGGTCATCCTCCACCTCCTCTGCCAGCCCTGGCTCATGGCCCGGGGCTGGGGCCCGCAAGGCCTGGAGGGTCACGGAGGTTCTGCGGGCAGTGGGTCCCGCTGTCCAGGTAGAACAGGATTAGAGAAGAGGAGGAGCAATTAGTTACTTAGATTTGAAGTAGGTCGGAGCAACAGTGCCTTACAGGAGTTCAAGCTAATTGGAAGGGGACAGCCAAGGGCGGGTTCTCAACAAGGTCACTGCCATATGACGGTATAAGTTTGGTCAAGTAGCCCGCATGCCCAGGTAGGAAGATCTTGGACTTGCTGCCCTAGTGATGACAGCAAGTCGGAAGGTCCCTTGGGTGGCCACACATCAAAAGGCAGGCCATTCGGATGACACAGAGTAATTAAGCTTTTCTTTCCTGGTTCTATACAGGTCATATGCCCATCACTTCTTTTAAGTACTTGTAAGGGAGATGGGAGATGAGGGAGTGCTCTGAGTGTGCCATCTGTAATGATTTGTAGTCTCTTCCTGTAAAGGAATGTGAGTTAGAATCCTGTAAAGGAAATCTGGTCTGACAACCCAATGATATCTGAAGCCATGACAAAGACTTGGAAGCCCGGGTCAGGGTTAGCTCACTGGATCAGCGATCCCGCTCAGAACAGCTCAGATCAAACAGCTGCTGCCCAGAGCCTGATGTACTGGGGCAGTTCAGATCGTGGCCTTTGAAGCCTGGGTCAGGAGTTAGCTGCCTGGATCACTTGATCCGCTGGGGCAGCTCAGATCAAAGACAGCTGCTGCCCAGACTGCAAACCCGTCTGCAGGCAGATTTCAGATCTGGTACTAGATCCAGAGGAGAGCCAGGGACATCTCACGGTCTCCGCTGGCCGTCCCACCACTCATGGCATCCGCCGGAATGTGCAACTCCCAGTTTCAGACCTCTTGAGTCACAGATTCAGATTCCAGAACAGACACCCAGACAGACAAGCGGAGATGGGCCAGCTCACCTATCAGTAGATCAGTCTAAGTAGATCCATTGACCAGGGGTCTAGTGGGCTTGAGGGTCCAGGCGAGCCCCCAGATGTGCCCAGACCATTTTGTTCCCAAAAAGAAGACCACAGAGTCAGAGTCAAAGAAGCCAAGTGGCAGGATCTTTTCTAGGGTTAAGACCTAGTCCTCCATTCACAGGGTACAAGGGCCTTGAACAATTTTTAAGTGTTTGCTTTATAGCCCGAGATTTTGGGGAACAAAGATTCTTTGATTTCCCCAGCTTTCAAGTAAAACTTTGAGCGGCTGTCTCATACTCAAAGGAACTTTCCAGGTAGTGTTTATGCACTGGGCTCAGAGGAGTTTTGAGAGATATATGGCGATATGTGGTAGGATGGAAGGATGGGATGGCATGTGTTTATGCTGGGCTCAGGAAGTTGAGAGATATATTAGCGATGTGGTGGGATGGGGAGGATGGCATGGAAGTTTTATGCTAGGCTTGTTTGGCCCCCAGGCCCAGGGCTGAGAGGTGTGCCCAGATCAGCTCAGGGTCAATGCAATACCTTTATATTTTAATTTTTGAATGTAGATGGCACGCTGTCTTTGGGTCCATCTCGAGGTCACTCCTTTGTCCCTCTTGCTTCTCCCCAGCTGGATTCTAACAAATTTAAATTGCCTGCCTACCCTAAAGGTTTTTAATTTGCTAAACCTATTAAAACCAATAGCACCATCAAATGAAAATATTTTAAAGCAGCTTATGGGTAAAATAGCCACTTTATTACAAAAATTATAATATTATGGAGCTTATTCCCTTAAAAGGAGTAATTTCATGTATCCCATGTATTTATTTTAATAACTTTTTGATCCCTAAAAAGGTTTTTTTAATTTGCTGGCCCTATTAAAACCAATAGCACCATCAAATGAAAATATTTTAAGCAGCTTATGGGGTAGTATTTACTTTGCTTTAAAAATTATAATATTATAGACTTATTCGTAAGGTAATTTACATGTATCCCATGTGTTTATTTTAATAACTTTTTGATGAAGACACCAATATTATTGCCGCTTTTCAAATAAATAGAGTTTTGGAGTGTAAGTGAGAAAAGAGGAGGAATAGGAAGAAATAAGGGAAGAAATCTCCTGCTTTAGACAGTATAATCAGGAAAGGTCTATTTAATGAGATGTCATTGGAGAAGTGTCCTGAATGGAGTGAGAGGGAGTACCATGAAAATATCTAGGAAAAGAGCTTTATAAGCAGAGAGAATGGCAAGGATAATCACCCCTGTGGCAGCTTGTTGCAGTAAGAAGCTCAGTATGGTTGGAGCAGAGTTAAGTTTGGAGAGTGGCAGTGAACAGGAGAATGGAGGGACCAGATAGATAATTGAATTATGGGGGCAATTCTGATCATAGTGAGTTAGTTCTTACAATATCTGATGGTTTTATAAAGGGCTTCCCCTTTCTCTGGGCACTCATTTCTCTCTTCTGCTGCCATGTGAAGAAGGACAAGTTTGCTTCCGTTTCCGACATAATTATAAGCTTCCTGAGGCCTCCTCAGCTCTTTCCTTTATAAATTACCCAGTCTCAGGCCGTTCTTTATAGCAGTGTGAGAACAGACTAATACAGTAAATTGGTACAGAGGGAGTGGGGCACTTTTATAAGGATACCCAAATGTGGAAGCGACTTTGGAATTGAGTAACTGGCAGAGGCTGGAACAGTTTAGAGGACTCAGAATAAGAGAGAAAAATGTGAGAAAGTTTGGAATTTCCTGGAGACTTGGAGGGCTCAGAAGACAGGAAGATGTGGGAAAGTTTGGAACTTCCTAGAGACTTGCTGAGTGGCTTTGAACAAAATGCTGATGGTGATATGGACAATAAAGTTTAGGCTGAGGTGGTCTCAGATGGAGATGAGAAACTTGTTGGGAATTGGAGCAAAAGTGACTCTTGCTGTGTTTTAGCAAAGAGACTTGGCAGCATTTTGCCCCTGCCCTAGAGATCTATGGAACTTTAAGCCTGAGAGAGATGATTTTATGTATCTGGCAGAAGAAATTTCTAAGTGGCAAAGCATTCAAGAGAAACCAGAGCATGAAAGTTCAAAAATATGTAGGCTGGCCGTGGGATGGAAAAGAAAACCCCATTTTCTGAGGAGAAATTCAAACTAGTGGCAGAAGTTTGCATATGTAACAAGAAATGGAATGTTAATCACCAAGACAATGGGAAAAATGTCTCAAGGGCATGTCAGAGATCTCATGGCAGTCCCTTCTATCACAGGCCTAAAGGCTGGTTTCCTGGGCTGGGTCCAGGGACCTGCTGCTCTGTGTAGCCTTGGGACTATGTCCCAGCCGCTCCAACCATGGCTAAAAGGGGCCAATGTACAGCCAGGACGTTGCTTGGGAGGGTGCAAATCCCCAGCCTTGGCATCTTCCATATGGTCTTGGTCCTGTGGGTGCACAGAGAACAAGAACTGAAGTTTGGGAACTTCTTCCTAGATTTCAGAAGAGGTATGGAAACACCTGGATGTCCAGGTAGAAGTCTGCTGCAAGGGCAGAGTCCTCATAGAGAACCTCTGTTAGGGCAATGTGGAAGGGAAATGTGGGATCAAAGCCCCCACACAGAGTCCCCACTAGGGCACTGCCTAGAGGAGCTGTGAGAGGAGGGTCACTGTCCTTCAGATCCCAGAGTGGTAGATACACTGACAGCTTGCACTGTGTACCTGGAAAAGCTGTAGAAACTCAATGCTAGCTGTGAAAGCAGCTCAGATGAGGGTGCTGTATCCTGCAAAGCCACAGGGACAGAGCTTCCCAAGGCCCTGGGAGCCCACCTATTGCATCAGCATGACCTAGATGTAATACATAGATTCAAAGGAGATCATTTCAGAGCTTTAAGCTCTGACTGTCCAGCTGGATTTCAGACTTGCATGGGGCCTGTAGTTCCTTCGTTTTGGCCAATTTCTCCCATTTCGAATGAATGCATTTACCCAATGTCTGTACCCTCACTGTATCTAGGAAGTAACTAACTTGCTTTTGGTTTTACAGGCTTATAGGCAGAAGGAACTTGCCTTGTCACCAATGAGACTTTGGGCTGTGGACTTTTGGGTTAATGCCGAAAATAGTTAATATTTGGGGGGACTGTTGGGAAGGTGTGATTGTGTTTTGAAATGTGAGTACATGAGATTTGGGAAATGGTCAGGGGTGGAATGATATGGTTTGACTGTGTCCCCACCTAAATCTCATCTTGAATTTTAGTTCCCATAATCCCCATTTGTTGTAGGAGCGACTAGGTGGAAATAATTGAATCATGGGGACAGTTTCCCCCATCCTGTTCTTATCATAGTGAGTTAATTCTCATGAGATCTGATGGTTTTATAAGGGGCTTCCCTCTTTGCAAGGCACTCATTTTTCTCTCCTGACATCACATGAAGAAGAAGATGTTTGCTTCCCTTTCCACCATGATTGTGAGTTTCCTGAGGCCTCCCAGCTCTGTGGAACTTTGAGTCAAATTAAAACTCTTTCCTTTATAAATTACCCAGTCTTGGCCAGTTCTTTATAGCAGCATGAGCATGGACTAATACAGTGTCCATTTGAAATGTCTACAGTTATATCATGCACATGAATCACTTTTTTTTCTCTCTCTCTCTGACCTTCTTGGCCATGGGAATTTGATAATCCCTTCTCTATAAATCTAACACTGATCATCTCTCTGGTAGAAGGGGGTCTCATACACTCAAAGCACCATAAATTAATTTATCCTTGTATGCTTATTTAAATTGCAGCAATCCATTCACATGTTAATTCCTTCTTTACCACTTCATCAAAACAGAAGACAAATGAGCTCAGTGACTTGAACATATGTTTCTTTGCATTTATTTAAAAAATCTGTCAGGTATTGTCATGGAATGTGCAAAAGAAATCAATTTTTAAAACCGAAAAAATATATTTACACATAATTGTTTAGCACAGCTTGTTACTTGACCTCCCCATCTCAACCCTATATCCTCAATTTTTGCAATTTTGCTTACACTGCACTTCCTGTCTTGGAGCCTGAAACAGTTTGAGTCTATTTGCTTGAATTGTGTTGAGGAAGGAAGTGGGATTGCAGGAGGGTGCAACTGAATATTGACTGTATTTCCACATCTATGATCTCACTGGCCCAAGTGGCCTGCATTTTCTCCAACATCAGAGAAAGATTTTACGAGGGTTTACAACTGGTATGCAGGTTTTTATCTTCCTTACATTGATGGCAAAAATTAGATCTATTTAGTCTACTGTCCTCCACAAATTGGTCCATAAACTCATCAGATTAAGAATGGGATTTGAGGACTTCCAAATTTCCATGGCTTTTGGTTGCAGGACCCCCTGAAGACTTTGATCAGCCTTGCCATCTTGTGGGTACCTTAGCGTTAGATTGAGTTATGTTGCTAAAAGATAATTATTCATCAGCTGATCATTAAGCATACGGGGCTTACTCAGCTCCCCCTATCAATTTGTGTCAAAATAAATTAATTGTGGACCTGTCTTGTTTTATGAGAAAGCAATGTGATAGTCTTCAAATTTATCTTTCTAAACAAAGTACAGGTTTACACATTACCCAGCACAGTAACTCCTCTTGATATTCTTGACCTAAAAGGAAGAAGTGCAGGAAAAACTGATATAAGTAGAGAGGTTACTTGGGCCAAGCATGAGAGTTACAACCCAACTGCATGGAGTCAAGTTGCCCTGAACAATATGCATTCTTATTAGCAACAGTTACAAGTAGGTTTTCAAAGAAAAAGAAGAGGCAGTTCCTAAGTTATTTACCATGAATTTATATTAAAACAGCATAAGCTATCAATTGGCTATAAATTGCTCTCTGAATCAAATTCCAAGAACATGAAGATAATGGGCAAGGCAGCTAGTCAGGAACAAAATGGCATTAAACAATTGCCCCCAGCTATGGTTTGGAGGGGCACTATTGCACACAGGAAGCAAGACTAAAGGACCATACTTATGTCTCTCTGGGCCTGCATATCTCACAGAACTCAAACTGCTCTATTTTTCTTTTCTCAATATTTTATTGAGGTAGATAGTGGGTGAATTTGCACAAAGCTACAAATTCCTATTGGAAAGAGTCACTTTCTAATGCAACAACCTAACCTACCCATGCACACCACAAAGGCTCTAGCACTGACATTTCAACTGTCTCCACAACATCACTCTCATTTTAGGATGATATTCTACCTCCCAACACACTTATAGTTCATCTGCTATACTCCTTAGCACTGTCTTTGACTGAGCTGTGCAGCTTGCTTAACTGTAAAGTATGTAAAGTTTCAAAAATCCTGGATGACCTCTAAAATGTAGCAAAACGATAATCCCCACTACCACTCAGGTTGGTAGAGAAAGATCAGGGAAATTCACAAAATGGAAAATATCCTCCCAGACAAAAGATGTTTCCCCCTTTTTGAGGCCTCCTCACCAATATTTCCTAACCTAAATTTCAAATATGTATTTAACTCCATTTGATGTTTAAGTGTTTCCAAAGCAATATAGAGCCAGAGGATAAGAAGCTGTGGTATCATTGTTATGCGCATCTGTGTGAAGAGACCACCAAACAGGCTTTGTGTGAGCAATAAATCTTTTTAATCACCTGGGTACAGGGAGGCTGGGTCCAAAAAGAGAGTTAGTGAAGGGAGATAGGGGTGGGGCCGTTTTATAGGATTTGGATAGGCAAAGGAAAATTACAGTCAAAGGGGGTTGTTCTCTGGCAGGCAGAGGTGGGAGGGGTCACAAGGTGCTCAGTGGGGGAGCTTTTGAGCCAGGATGAACCAGGAAAAGGAATTTCACAAGGTGATGTCATCAGTTAAGGCAGGAACAGGCCATTTTCACTTCTTTTGTGGTGGAATGTCATCAGTTAAGTCAGGAACCAGCCATCTGGATGTGTACATGCAGGTCACAGGGGATATGATGGCTTAGCTTTGGCTCAGAGGACTGACAGTCATTTTGCTAATACTGTCCATTTTAGCACAAAACGGAGAACTTAGTGTCAACATTTATGCTCCTAAACGATGTTGGGTCAAATTAAATGTTCCTCATTGTTTCTCTCTCTTGATCTCTCCTTTACTCCTTCTCTTCCTTGCAGGGTCTCCATCTCCTTCATAAGGGCACACTCTGTTACCCCTTTAAACAAAATAAAAAGTCTTACATTCTGCCCAGATTTTTTTCAGGCTCCACCAAAGGAATGGGTGAATTATGGTCCAAAAGTTGGTGAGGATGATGGTGAGCCTTCAATCACCTTCAGTCTCCCAACCAACAATGGCCAAGGCTTGGTTTTTCCCTGGATTACATGGAGAAAATCATGCCCTACTTTTTGGACCCGTTGCTTCCACATTTGTATGGTAACTGTGAAACCATCCTAATGAACAGCAAACATTAACCACTAAATAAAATGTAGACTTTGAATAAAAGCACAGTTAAGTACTAACCAGCTTGCCCTTTAAGCCAATTCCTTACTGCTACTTATAGCATGACTGTTAGCTCCTTTCCTTATAGTTTCTTTCTGCCTAAAAGTCACATAGACGTGGTCACAAGGCACTAACTTCCGTTAGTTATTTCTATAAGATAACATATGTAACATTAAGAAACATCAAGTTTCTTTCTAAAACTTTTTCCAGATCCTGGAATCCCATGGGTCTGCTGACACCAGTCAGTCTGATGACCCTCTCCACGGAACTGCCTCAGCAAAAAAAAAAAAAAGAAATCCAGTTTTCATCTCTGTATGTTTCATTTCATTCCCTATACCCCAGCCAATCAGCAACTCCAGACCTTCACCCCCTTACCTGCCTTTCTCTTAAAAACCCTAAACTGAGACCAAGCAGGGAGGTGGATTTGAGGTTTCCTCAACCTTCCTCAATTTGCTGCCATTCAATTATTAAACTCTTTCTCTACTGCAACACCTGCTGTTTTGGTGTATTGGTATGTTACTCTGCAACAGGCACAACACTGATAAGCCTAAAATGACTTTTTCTGGTTGCCTCTCTAATTTTGTTCCCAGTATCTACTTGTAGGCCTACTTCTCAATTTCCATGGTTCTCCTATTCCTAGGTCTTTTTTAAAGAGTTAATTTCTTCCACTGAATTGTGTCTCCTGAACATTCATTCACTTGAGCACAACTTCACTTGCAGCTTGGCTTTAGAAAATATTCCATAACTGGACATAAGAAACTCTTGCTTTCTTAATATCTATGACTACCCCAAAGATGAGTATAATTCTTATTAAAACTAAATTAGACTGTCAGAATGTGGATAACTATTGAACCAAAGCATATTATTTTGAAGAAGACTAAGAATTTGGAGAAGAGAATTAAGAAGTCTTCAAGGAAGAAAAAAACACGAAAGCTATCTTTTGGGAATTTTGTTTTTCTTTTTTAATAGTACTAGCTTTCACAGCTACTAAGAGGACTTTGGAATTATTTGGAGCATGAGTATAAGAACCTTCTTACTGATTTGCACCAGTAACCTAAATTGAAGGACACATGGCTAGGATGATTTGGAATTCAATTAATGAAAATAAGGCATGGGTTTGTTAGAAGAGGAATAATTTTTTTTCATAGAAATAAAATGTAAATTGTTAAAAAAGTTGGCTCATTTTTATTAATTCTATTACTTACAGTAATTCATATTTTCATTCAGATATAAATGAAACACTCTTCCTTCTTTATTTTTAGTTCCTCTCCCCAGCTTTTCATTCTCTTTCAGTCTTCCTTTCTGTTTTTTGTTTGTTTGTTCTGTTTTCTTTTGTTTTTTTAAATCAGGATCTTACTCTTTCTCCCAGGCTAGAGTGCAGTGGCACAATCTCAGCTCACTGTAGGCTCCACCTCCAAGGCTCAATCAATCATCTTGAGTAACTGGGACAACAGGCACGTGCCATCATACCCAGCTAATTTTTGTGGGTTTTGTTTTGTTCTTTTTTTGTGTGTGTGTACTGGAGATGGGGTTTCATCATATTGCCCAGGCTAGTTTTCCTTTCTATATAGAGAAAAATTTAAAGTGAATGTGATGTTGGAGAGGGTGGGAGGGAAAAGTAATGGTAAGTATGCTTGCTCATTACCAGGCACTGTGCTAAGTTCTGTGAATACATAAATAAGTAAAATCCACACTGTTTCTCAAAGAACTCACAATCTATTTAAGAAAGCAGATGTCTACACAATAATTTTATAACTATTATTCAATGTGATTAGTACTCACATAGCTCTATATAGAGTGTTATAGAAGAATAAATAAAAGAATATCTCATTTTTCCTGGAGTGGTTTAAAAAGGTGTCACCGAAAACTGAATTGTAAATGGTACAGAAATATGGAGGGGTAGTTTGTGGTAGGACATATCTTAGCCCACTGCTTCTCAGGTTTGGCCTTTGAACTTGAAATACGACTGTTCCAAGGACAGAAGGCAAAATGAACAAAAGCAAAATCTGAAGGAAGTTATCAATAGAGATTGACTCTCATTGAGGCACACCAATACAGGCTGGGCCAAATGTCAGAATCAAGGCAACTTATATCAAATGCAGGACTGTAACACTCTCTCAACTGCACCTGAAAATGAAACAAACAAGAGTGGAAATTAAGCACATATCCTAATGCAACTTTCAGGACTAGGGCATGTAGATGGGCCCCAGTCATCTAATAACTGATGTATAACTTAAGATTTTTCAAAGGCACCAGTGATTTATGAGAGGGGGAGAAAACGACCAGATTACCAGTTTCCTCAAGAGGCAAATCTTCTAAGAAATCATCTGCAGCCCGCAGCATCTGCCTCAGTGCAGAGAGGATCAGAATATCATTCATGGGGTCCAGTTCCAAATCTGAAGCAAAATTTCCAACCATCAAAAATACTGGAAATAGGAATGCCTAGCATTTTATGGACATTCATGACCTGTGGAAAGTATATTTAAGAAATGTAAGTCTTGTATTTAACATTTGAAATTTGACCAATTTTAAATACAATTTAAGAAAGAAACCCAAAGAGCAATGGCTTAATAAGTTATCTTGAGAACATACTAATAATTCAGATCATTGCAGTTTTAAGTGTGATATAAATTTGAATTAATCAAGCAATTGATTCCATTCTTCATTTCCCTGCAAATACATTGTGTGAGCATATATACACATACAGACACACACACACACCCCCACACACAAGTATGATTGTGGTACTATTACAATAATATCTGGTTATGATCAGCGTTCTTTACCTGCCTTTGAGAAGTCATAGATCTACTCAGGTTTAAAAAGTTGTCTTGAAGAATCTCACTGCAATCATCCACTTTAGTAAGCAAGGCTACATGTGCTACACCTATATCAAATAGATAAATCAGTTATTTTATATCATAAATAGCAATATATCAACAAGTTATTAAATACGTGTGAAAGCAACTCTATAGGGTGATGTGATTTTGAAAGCTGAAGAATGAAATATCCCCAACACATCTCAATATGGAGCCTGAAGCTTTTCTAGCGGAGAAATGATCTTTGGTCTTTTTTTCCAACATGAAACAGCATTTTTCAATGCAACTAAATTCATACTAAATTGCAATTATCTACTATTCCATTCAACTAATTTGTTTTAAATTGGCCAAGGGGAAAAAAGGGGGTTGCTGGACTTTGGGGACTAAAAAGAACCACAAGAAAAAGAGGGAGTGAGGAGGGTTGTGTATGAGCATTTATGAGAGCAAACTGTACTGATTTCACAGTTCTAATAAGGACCTATGCCTTTCTCCCTCAAACCACAGGGATTGAATTAGTAAATCACACTTGACTTCTAAACGAATCAAAATTCTACAATGCTAACAACTGCTTATGAGGAAAATATAAGATTAATTTCAAATGCCTGTCAAGAAAACTCCCAGAACTTTTTTTTTAAAATTTATTTATTATTATTATACATTAAGTTGTAGGGTACATGTGCATAACATGCAAGTTTGTTACATATATATACTTGTGCCATGTTGGTGTGCTGCACCCATCAACTCGTCATTTACATCAGGTATAGAACTCTTTTAACAGAGATTTTAGTACCTTCTTCCTATCGAAATCTAAATGATTTCTTTTGCTACCTTCTCATCATTCAGGTTTCAGAGGAATAACTAGCAAAGTTGGCCAATTAATACCTAGGTTCTGGTAGAGGGCAGTTCTCAATTGATACCTATAATTTTTTTCAACCTCTGTTACAATGTAATTCTTCTCTTTCAAAATTAATACAATGTCCTTTTAGAGGTCCTAAGTCAGCACAGTTAGTTGCATTAAGCATTGCCATCCAGCATGCCAAGCATAATGTGTTGCCATACGTCCTTGAAAACTCATTTTAAAACTTAGCATTTCTCTTTTACCCCAAACCCTCCATAATTTTAAAGCTGTTAAGTGATTATATAAGCTTATATATTTACATTGTGTATATCTAATGTTCACTACTCAAACATTTGTTAGATGGTTTGTTAAGTTCAGATGCAAAACTTATCCCCATTTTATAAGAACAGAAGACTAAAGTTCAGTGAAATTCAGTTACCTTCCTCAAGGTCAAAGTTTACTACTATTTAAAAACGTGGTTCACTTAACCAAGACCATGCTCTATACATTAAACTGCATAGCACTTTTCGGAACCTAAATATGTGATATTTATACTGATAAAGTAAGTGATGAGGCTTTGGAGTATAAATGCCCCAACAATTCTTTATATGAAAATATTTTCAAACTTCAGTGAGAGTACTTCCAGTTCTGAATCAAATGGAGTAGACACACTTTTCCCTCTTCTTTACACTAAATATGGCTAAAATCTCTGGACATTATACATAAATCAAACATAAAGATTGAAAAATGAAGAGGATGCAATTTGGCTAGAAACCTTGAGATCCAAGAAACAATACACAGATGAGTTCTCTGGGTTTTCTTTTTACTTCATATGTCCCAGATTGGCTTTTAGAGACACTCACAACTGAAAAATGCCAATTAGAGCCAGCAACAAGAAAAAAAAAGTAAAGTAAAACCTGTTCCATCTAGTCAAAGCATAAGAAAAAGGGCAGTGTAGCAAGACAGAGAACTTTCAGAAAATAGCCACACTACCTGAGCTAAACACCACAATCCCGATCCATGGATATGTCCTTCCCTTTCGCAACCTTCGTCCTTAGCCAAGGTAGTATCAGAGAAGAAAAAAAAATGTGGGGAGCCAGCACATTTATACCTGCACTATACTAACAAGGTCTGTCCTGATGGCGTCAAGGGAGGCTACTTGGGGATCCTAGACTTCCACCAAATCAGCGGCAATGAGGTGTTCTTCTCCCTCTCTGGCAGTGTCAGAGGAGAACAAATGAGAAGCTAGAACTCTAGCCTTCATTAACCTTAGATGCAAGGAGCCTTCTAGCCCTGTGATGTCAGGGGATCCTATGTGGGGCGCAGTAAGAAAGTGCCCTTTCTCTAGGGATGTCAAACAAGGCCTCATGGGAAACCTGTACTTTCCGTCCTACCAGTATCAGAATATGCCTGCAAAAACACAAGATGTAAGATCCAGAGTCACAGAATAAAATATCAAAGACACAATTAAAGATCATTTGTCACATCAAAACCCAGGAAATTCTCAACTTGAATGAGAAAAGCTAATCAGAAGATCCTGACCCTAATTAGATGACAAAGATGTTAGAATTATTTGGCAAGGATTCTAAAGCAACCATCATAAAAATGCTTAAGAACCAAGTAGGAACATGCTTGAAGCAAATGCAGGAAGTGGAATGTCTCAGCAAAGAAATAGAAGATATGAAAAAGAATCAAATAGAAATTTTAGAACTAAAAGAATATTATACCCAAGATAGGAAAAACAATAGATATGCTCAAAAGCAGAATGGAGAGGACAAAGTAATGAACAAATGAATTTAAAGATATAACAATAGAAATTACCCACTCTGAAAAATAAAGAGCAAATAGATATAAAAATAAATAAATAAATAAACAGTGAGACTATAACAAAATATCTAGAATTCATGTCCCAGAGTTCCAAAAAGAGAGATGAGATATGGCAGGGCTAGAAATCGTCATAATAGTAAGACAACTGCAGACTGAGAGAAACTATTTGCAAATGATATATCTTACAATTGGCTCATATTTAGGATTTACAGATCTTTCAAAATTCAAGTTCTAAAAAACACAAATAATCTGATCAGAAAATAGTCAAAAGACATGAAGAGACATTTCACTGAACAAGCTATACAGAAGGCAAATAAGCACATGAGGAGATATTCAATGTCATTAGTCATTAAGCAATGCAAATTAAGAACCTGATGAAATATCAGTATACATCTATCAGAAGAGTTAACAATTTTCTAATAGCAACAATAGCAAATACTACCAAGAATGCAGAAAAATCAGATTTCTCATGTATTGCTGGTGGGATTGTAAAATGGTACAGTCCCTCTAGAATGTAGCTTGGTGATCTCTTTCAAAGTTAAACATACAGTTACTATATGACCCAGCATTACATTTCTGGAGACTTATCCCAGAGGAATAAAAACATGTCCACAAAAAACCTGAACACTAATATTCATAGGAGTTTTATTTACAGTAGCTAAAAACTGGAATACTTTTTTGATAGAGCATGGTTAAACTGTGGGGTATCTATACCATGGAATACTATACAATTTTTTTTAATGAACAATAAATACATACAAAATCTTGGATGGATGTCAAAGGATATTAGGCTGAGTCAAAAAATCCAGTCTCAAAAGGTGACATACTGTATGATTCCATTTGTATAACATTCACTAAATGACAAAATTATGGAAATGAAGAAAATATTAGTGGTTGCCAAGAGTTAAGGATGGTGGAGGAATAGTGGGTGCCATGGGGGAAATCTATGAAGTGATGTAATAGTTGGTTGCAGAGATGGGTACATAAACTTACACATGTGATAAGATGACATAGAACTATAAACACACATTGTTAGCAATCAGTTTCCTGGATTCAGTCTTCCTGGTGTAGCCACATAGTGTGAAGAGGTGACTTCCCTATCTAACGCCTCAGGAAAATCACACGCGAAAAAAGAAAAAAAGGATGGTTAGTCTATTCTTTAAAGACTGAAAATTAGGATTTGGGGTCTTTCTTCAGTCATGCCTGTGAATGAGCTCTACCTGTGACAGGGAAATTGGATGAAAGGTACATGGGAAATCTCTGTAATCTCTTTGCAACTTCTGGCAAATCTATAATTATATCAAAGTAAATTTTTTTGGATAAGTACGATGAGTGAGACTCACCACAGTTTAATACTTCTTTGTGAACTTGCTTGAATTTTGCCAACATCTTAGAGGAGAGATTGTCAATAGAGGTGATGTCTAAGACATAAGCCACACAGTGAATCCTGTCCTTCAGAGATGGAGAGGTGATAAAAGTAGAATGCTCAGGTGTAATTGGTTTACGGGGATTAAACTGTTATAAAAACATAAGGTAACATTCAGAATTCAGAGAGTTTCTGTTTAATCCTTAAAGAGACAATTAATGCTTCTAATACTGTAACTACTTATCTCTCTCCTCCCCAGCAATTCTTTCCCCAAATTAGTAGCACCCCCCTCTTTACTCCCTTCCCACTGTGAGCATAATGCCATTATATCTCTCTCGCAGGAAAAAAAAAAAAAAAACACTTTATTGCTGTGGTAAAAATGATAATCATCCATTGTAAGTATTGCAGGAAAGTATAAAGAATGTTTTGGGAAAGCTAACATCAAATCCTATCCTGAAATAAACACCATTAACATTTGTTAAATACAACTTAAAACTCCTCTCTAAGCATTTTGCATGCTTAAATGAACTGGATAGAGAGAATAAAAGAAAGAAAAATATGTTGCAAATGCTATTTAAATTAAAAGACTGTAATTTATTTTGATTTTATAGAAGAAAAACAAACTAAAGTGAAATAAAACAAATACCAACTTTGAAGTTAATGTCTTCTTACCACAAGACAATAATCTTTCTAAGATTAAGGAAATAGATTATGAAACAAGAGTTTGGAAACATGTAGTTATTAAGCTATATATTTCAATGTTGGACTGAATTGACTGGTTCCCTGCTGTGAAAAATTAAGGTGCTAGTATGCTCCTGATTTCTCCAATGTCTTCGCTGTATCCCCGCTCTCTTTATCTGTGTGTCTCCTTTTCCCTGACTGCATTATGAACTCCTGGAGGATAAGGATTGTGTTGTTATTGAACTATGTGTTTTCAGTAACTGGCTTAGAGTTTGGCACAAATATGGTTTATAATAAATGGTTTTTGAATGAATAAATGAATACATAGGTAAGGTTTTCAATTCAGCAAAATTGGGAGGCAAAAGAAAGTCTTCTTCAGAAATTGAGGCTGATACCCAATACCTAAAAGAAAGATAACAATCATTGTTGGCTTTTTTGAGAACTTAGACTATATCATCTCATTTAATCTTCTTAGCCACCCTATGAGATGGACACCATTAATACCAACATTGCACACCTAAAAAAGAAGCTAAGAGAGAGAAGTATGTAACTTACTTATGGGTACACATCTGCTAGTAGCAGAGCCAAATTTTGAATCTAGGTATTTAGTAGTGAAATCTAAGCATTTACAGTATAAAATCACATTTCAACACAAAGTCGTTACTTGTTCCAATATTTTGTCTATGTAACCCAAAAAGTGCAAGGGATTAAGTGACTATTATTAGTTTACATTATTGTAAAGAGTAATAAAAGCACACTATCTCCTTGATCTTTTACTAGAATGTGAATAAATAGAATCCTGCCTTTTGGCTTTATTTTTCAATGTTACAGAAAAGAACAGTAGTCAGTCTACTTTTTTTTATATGAATTCTTATTCATTTAAAGTAGAATAGTGTTGATTGATGTTGAAACCACATTATGGTAGTTGAAATTGCCTTATGAGGTTAAAAATTCAATGAAAAATACTGAAGAAACTGATCTGAAATGTTTTGGATATTGAAGAAATCTTACCTGATATCTGTCTGGTATACAGCCTTTTAAGATGTAGGGAATGTCATCCACGCACAGTCCTACTCCCTCTGCCCCATCTAGTCCCATGGTGTCACACAACATAAATGGCAGAGATTTTCCATTTTTTCCATCTTTAACAGAATAGATCCTATACTGTTAAAAATATATATATTAAGTGTAAAGTTTCATTCATCACCCAGCATTCAAGACAGGACAATAAGAAGACAAGAGATTGGTTAATATTTGAACATCATGGTCCACGAACAGTTTGGTCTCAGGACCCCTTTAGACTCTTAAAAGTTATGGAGAATCCCAAAGATCTGTTATTTATGTGGGTTATATCTATGGATATTTAAAATGTTGGAAATTAAAACTGAAAAAATTTTAATGTTTCTTTTTTAATTAAAAAGGAAAATTATATGTAATTTATCGTGTAAAACATGCATGTGTGTATATATATATCTATATATACACACACACATATATATATAATGGTATGTTTTGACTCCTTGCTTTTTATATTTTATGTATCTGCTATTAGTATTTGTTTTGTGGTTAATCATGATGCCTACAAAAAAAATTATAACTGGTTATATTAAGTTAATAACAGCTCCACTTAGATAGAAAAAAAAAACACTCCAGATTTTTACTCCACTCCTCCCCACAGTTTGCATCTTTGATGCCACAATTTACATCTTTCCATGTTGCATGTCCTTTAACAAAATATTATAGCTATTATTATTTTAGTAGTTTTGTCTTTTAAACTTCATATTGAAGATATAAGTGATTTACACACCATCATTATAGTATGAGTATTCTGAATTTTACCATGTAGTTTTACCAGTGAGTTTTATACTTTCAGATATTTTTATATTACTTATAAGCATCCTTTTCTTTCAGCTTGAAAAACTCACTTTAGCAAGAGTTTAGTAGACAGGTCTAATTGTAATGAACTCCCTCAGCTTTTGTTCATCCAGGAAAATTTTTATATATCCTTTATTTCTGAAGGATAGCTTTACTGGGTATAATATTCTCAATGGATGTGTTTGTTTGTTTGTTTGTTTTTTCTTTCAGCACTTTGAATATTTCATCCCACTCTCTCTTGGCCTGTACAGTTTCTGCTGACAAGTCTGCTGCTAGTCATATTAAAACTCTCTAATATGTTATTTGCTTTCTTTATCTTCCTGTTCTCAGAATCCTCTCTTTGTCTTTGATATTTTACAGTTCGATTTTAATATGTTTTGGGTTAATCTTCTTTGGATTAAATCTGACTGGGGACTTTTCTCTCAGCTTTACCTGGATATTTACATCATCCTCCAGGTTTGAAAAGTTTTTTTGCTACTATTTATTTACTTAAGATATCTATTACTTTTAATTTATTGTCTCCTTTAGCTCCTATAACTTGAATATTTGTTCTTTTGGTGCTGTTCCATAAATCTCATAAGCTTTCTTCATTCCTTTTCATTTTGTTTTTTTCTCCTCTATCTATATTTTCAAATAACCTACCTTTAAGTTCACAGACTCTTACTTGATCAATTCTGCTGTTGATGGTCTCTATTTCATTTCTCATTTCACCCACTATATTTTTTAATCTCTGAAAATTGTTTAATTTTTTATAATTATTACAACCTTTCTATTAAATTTCTTATTCTGTTCGTTCATCATTTTTCTCATTTTGTTACATTGTTTCTCTGTATTTTCTTGAAGTTTGCTATGCTTTGTTAAAATAATTATTTTGAATTCTTCAGGAGGTTCATATATCTCCATTTCTTTAGGATTGGTCACTGGTACATTATTTTCTCTCTTTAATGATGTCATATTACCCTGATCCTACTTCTTTTAGGATTGGTCACTGTGGCATTATTTTCTCTCTTTAATGATACATTACCCTGACTGTTTTCCATAGTGGTTGAACTAGTTTACAATCCCACCAACAGTGTAAAAGTGTTCCTATTTTCCACATCCTCTCCAAATCTGTTGTTTCCTGACTTTTGAATGATCGCCATCTAACTGGTGTGAGATGGTATCTCATTGTGGTTTTGATTTGCATTTCTCTGATGGCCAGTGATGATGAGCATTTTTTCATGTGTCTGTTGGCTGTATGAATGTCTTCTTTTGAGAAATGTCTGTTCATATCCTTTGCCCACTCTTTTGGATGGGGGTTGTTTGTTTTTTCTTGTGTAAATTTGTTTGAGTTCTTTGTTAGAAATGCCTAGATATTAGCCCTTTGTCGTACATGAGATTGCAAAATTTTCTCCCATTCTGTAGGTTGCCTGCTCAATCTGATGGTAGTTTCTTTTGCTGTGCAGAAGCTCTTTAGTCAATAGAGATCCCATTTGTCAATTTTGGCTTTTGCTGCCGTTGCTTGGTGTTTTAGACATGAAGTCTTTGCCCATGCTCATGTCCTGAATGGTACTACCTAGTTTTCCTCTAGATTTTTATGGCATGGTCTAACATTTAAGTCTCTAATCCATCTTGAATTAATTTTCGTATAGGAGTAAGGAAAGGATCCAGTTTCAGTTTTCTACTTATGGCTAGCCAGTTTTCCCAGCACTATTTATTAAATAGGGAATCCTTTCCCCATTTCTTGTTTCTCTCAGGTTTGCCAAAGATCAGATGGCTGTAGATGTGTGGTATTATTTCTGAGGACTCTGTTCTAGAAAACTTCCATTGGTCTATATCTCATATCTTTTACTCATGCATGATTTTTTAACCTAATTTATTGAACATTTTAAAACATTGGTTCACTGGGTTATCCAGATCTTCCTAACGTTGACACATTTCATCATACAATATTAAAATATCACATTTGTTAATACCACCATTAATCTCACTGGATAAGTCTTAAGTGTTGAAAATCTGTCAGGCTCAGAATACTGGATATAAGTTTCTCTAACTTTGATTTTTCTCAAAAGCTCAAATTTTGGTATTGGCAACAGACACTGTCAGTTTTTGTTTTTGTCTTTGATTAGCAGGGTCGCTTTGACCATTTTCATTAAGATATCTGCCAAATATCTGAGTATGAATAAGTAAGTCTGTTCTGTCCAGTAAAAGTGACGTCACATAAAAAAAAAAAAAGTTCAGTTAACAACTCAGTTGCTCCAGTGCTTTTTCTAAAGACAACTGCTAAATTTCAATATGCATTAGAAGTACTTTATGAGCACTTCCCATGTTATCATACTGAATATCAAAATGATGTGTATTCCAAAGTAGAGTTTAAATAAAACCAGTAACTGTTACTATTCATCAAGGAGTAAAACTGGCATTCTTTTCCTGTAAGTGCAGTAATTGGGAGAAATACAGTGACTAGTAGTAGTGTTTGGTGCCACCGTTTGATTCATATTAATGTGCTAATAGGTAAAACTATGTTGTATAATTAATTTAAGTGTCAAGACACTAGGAAAGACAAAAAAAAAAAAAACTTAGAATAATTCTAAAAACAGTTTTGAACTCAGAGATACCCTTAAAATGTATCTGGGAACCCAAGGGGTCCACAAATCTCACTTTGAGAAGCACAGCAGAACTTTCTTTCCTAGATAAACACATTCAATCTTATGGCAAGGATATTTTTTAGAAGAATTCTGAAAGTATTTTATTTGTTGGTCAGATATACTTTCAACATACACAAGAAAATATGGAAGATTTAGGAAGAATTGCAAAGGAAAGGATTTCTCAGAGACACTTTAATTAATTTTTCCATCTGTGGTTCTGGCAAGGGTGTCACTCAAACCAGAAGGGAGAGAACCCTCTATGACCTATTGTGGTCTGTAATAAAGTCAAAAGCTCTCATTGGGCCATGAAACGCATAGGCGTAATCCCACTGAAGATTTTTATCTAGGAGAATAGGACTTACCAGTGCCTCAACATGAAAGAAATTACACTAAGCACTAGAGTTAAAGTACATGGTAAAATTTCAGGAGCACCAATATGCATCTTCATAGTTTCCTTACCCATTGATTTGCTTCCTTTATAACTTCAATTATTCAAAGGAAAGGGTCTTTAGGCAATAAAATATTCTATTTCCCTCATAAAAGTCTGCCCTATATTTCTTCAATTTTAATAACATTTGCATTTCATTGGAATTCAGTGTCTACAGCTTCTCTTAAAATAAGACCTTTGGAATTTAAAACTTAAAAGGAAGAAAGAGAAATTTTGTCTTGAGTAGTACCTCTATTATAGCATATATCACAATGAATGATACATATTTATTATCTGCATTGGTCTCTGAGATCTCTGGGCAACAGGACCAAGCATTATTTGTATTTAGGTCTCTATTTCTGAGTAAATATTTAGCAGAGACATTTCAATCAATGCTTAATTAATTTAATTTGTGTTGCTGTACTTTGCCATGGCTTCTGAGACTACACTGATAGATTAAAATAAAGCCATTCCAGAGCATAGTATCTGGCCAACATCAAGAAATAAGATGTAATTCTTGAAAGTCCTAGAAAATTCTTTCAGTTATTGATGTAACACAAAAGCTAAAATGAACCATTACTGTCTTATTATGCAGTCTCATATTATGCTAAATTTTGCATTGATAATACACAGCATATTGATAATACACAGCATAATATTGTCACCTAACAAGTGACAATATTAATTTGTAGTAATCATTTAAAAAGCCTGATTCTAAAATTTTCTATTTTTTCCCTTTCTTATTTTTTTGTTTGATAGCATGTGCATGATAACATTGAAAAGCATAAACCAGAAAGAATTTTCTAGACAAGTGTTGCATCATAATTTGTAGTTCTTTAGAGCGACAAGTAAGAAATCTATATTACTATTTATTTCCTTATGTATATCTTTCTGTAAATAAGATAGTTTTTGTAAGAGCATAGATTTACACTTCAAGTACTCCTTCAAAGTTGACCCACCAAAGTGAAATACTATTTTACTTTTCATGACCATGTCTTAGAAAATGGTCTTATGTAATAAAAAAAAAAAATTATCTTACATAATTCTCATTATTTTACTACAAAAAAGAAAAACATTTTACATAATTTTCATTGTTTTACTACAAAAAGAAAATATTGGCCGGGCGCGGTGTGTCTGTTTCCAGATCCCAGCACTTTGGGAGGCCGAGACGGGTGGATTGCGAGGTCAGGAGATCGAGTATCTATCCTGGCTAACACGGTGTGAAACCCCGTCTTACTAAAAAAATAAATAAAAAAATTAGCTGGGTGTGGCGGGCGCTGTAGTCCCAGCTACTCGGCAGGCTGAGGAGGAATGTGCTCCAACCCGGGAGGCGGAGCTTGCAGTGAGCAGAGTCCGCGCCACTGCACTCCAGTCTGGGCGACAGAGCGAGACTCCGTCTAAAAAAAAAAATTATCTTACATAATTCTCATTATTTTACTACAAAAAAGAAAAACATTTTAAACCAGGTAAAATCATGTGGTACATGAGTAAAATGAACATCAAATATAATGGCCAAATATTTCCATAGGGTTTTTAAATTTGTGTTGTTTTTTACACAAATACTAAAAAGTATTCTTTACGTAACTGCTTCTTCCTTCCATAAAATTTGAAAGCTTCTCTCTATAATATAGCACAATAGAGGTGATTCTGATTAAAATTTTACTTCTATTTTCCATTTGATTTCGCATTTAATTGTATATTAGGATTGCCCTGAGAGAAAAAGGCAAAGACATAAACAATATATTAATTGTAATCTATAAAATAAAATCCTCAGGGAAATAACTTACCCGTTCAGTAATGCTGGTGGTATCAGACCCCACTATGGCTTGGCCGGTCACATGGCCATGAAAAACAGACTTGACTGAATTGAAAAAACTGGATTTTCCAGACCCAACTGGACCCACCAGAAGAATATGAATTTCTGAAACCAAGTCTGCATAGGGCTTGTAGGCTCTGATGTCTGCTAGAAGCCTATTTCTGTGCCTGTTAAAATATAGTGGTTAAATACAGCATAAGAACAGCCAATAAAGAATACCATAAAGAACACTACAAGTCATCTAGAGCTTCTTTCTCTTCCTGAGAAGGGTATTTTTTCAATACTTAATTATTATATTGATAATGGGATCTTCTATGATTGGAAATGTCTAAAGTTATACATTTTGTGCTTAAAGAAAATGCATTATTTTATGTCTGACTAAAGTTAAATAGTAACCAGCAACCAAACAATTTTTCAACTATTAGTCTTAGATCACATGAATGTAATAAGAAATATCAGTAACATTGAAGATAAATTATTATTTTCACTAAAAATACATTAAGGAGAAATCAAAATAAAATATATGCAATGTAGCTATCTATAAATTTAAAAAGAGAGTTTGCTTTTGACATTTACTGAGGATTCTCAAAAGCTGTTTCTCAAGGAAAGGATTCAGAAAAATTATCTAAAATGGTTATCCAGACTCTATTTGAAAAATTTTGGTCTGAAGTGGAAATGAAGTCAAATTGGTCAATGTCATCAGGCGGATATTTAAAGTTTCATAGTTGGTAGTGGTTTTGTTATTTTATGCCAATAACATTATAACTTTTTTTTTAAATCATTCCAGTGGCATGAGTTTTATCTTTACTACTAATTTGTCAGCATTCTTTATACAATTGGTCTAAATAAAATCATTAATAGATAGCCCAAGAATCCAACTTACTCTCTGGCTTTCATTATCCTCTTTGTGTAGTCTAGGTTATACTTAGTTCCTATAGGAAATAAACATAGCATAATAAGTTTTTAAAACTTGTCTGGTTAAATATGGCCAAGTCTACTTTTGAAATAAGACATTGAGTTTGCTTGTATAACCCAGGGCTGAGCTGCTCAATTAGGAGTCAGGGTTGGCAACATAATGAGAGGAAGAGGAGAAAAATTATCCTCTCTGCACATTAACTTGCTCTGGAAGCTCTCACATAATTATACCTAGAAGTTCTAAGGGTCATATGTTATAAGGGTCTGATCTTTGGGTCATACATCAAAACAGACCAGCTCTGATGATAAGATCTCTCTCTCTCCACATCTCCAACTCCTTTGTCATCTCTGTCTCTGCACATATATTTCTCAACTTGCTCTTCTCAAAGCAGCCTATACGTTCTGGATAAAAACCTCATAATCTTTATGTTCCTCACATTTAATTTCAGAATTTATCAAAGAGTATAAATTGGCATGAATCTAACTGTTCCTCTCACTTTCCTTGCTCTTGTAGATCAATTATTATCTACCAAACACAAAGATTAGAATCATAATGTGAGATGTAGGACTCTCTAATTTTACGTACCTTCAACTCGAAAAACTTCGCACTCCAAAAATTTAAGGTGGCCATAAAACTTTAGTTTCAAGTTTTTCATCATCATTCTATCTAGATAAATTTTATTATCTGGATGTATAATGAAAATATCATTTTTTGATAAACGACACACCAGTTGTTTATCAATAATTTTTGGTGCTGTATTTAAGAATAATGTTTCTATTTCAGTGGTGTCATTTTTCTTTTGAAGTGAAAACCACAGGGAATCATTTGGCTCTGTCGAACTTTCACGTAAATTAATATAATTTCCAAGCACAAAAGCTACAATCATATTTTCATTAATGTAAGTCATTGTTATAGTATATCCCTGATGGCTGCATCTTTGAACCATATCTTCAATGCTACCTCCATGAACACTAGACTTATAGAGAAGACTCAAAGAAACATTTCCAAGCAGCTTGCGCAGATGATTTTCATCATTCCATGTCAATCTTGTTGTCACTTCCATTGTTCTAGATCTAATGGAAAAACAATTATAGGTTGAGAAGCTTATATAATATAGTAGCTTATAGCTTAGCTTTCCACTTCTACTTTCAGTGAGTTCTTTTTTCACTGACTCAATTAAAACATATTATTTGGTTAAGGCAAAAAATACAGAAATGGCACAATAATGTTAGATATAAAAATATATAATTTAGAAAGGAAAAGTCATTAAAATTTTTAAATCAATTGACAAACTTCAGAAAGTTAAAGAACAAAGAAAAAATAAAACTGAATAAATGTCAGCAAACTTTTTCATACTGAACAAGATAGTAAATATTTTAGCCTTTGTAGGCCATAAGGTCTCTTCCACAATTACTCAACTTTGCCACTGTAATACAAAAGAAGTCATAGATAATATGTAAACAAGAAAGCATGATTATGTTCCAATAAAATTTTCTTTAAAAAAGCATATGGCTGGAACAGAGGCCACCATCATCATATCACATTCATCATTTGCCAATGTATGAATTAGAAAATGGAGCCTAGGAATTCATGCAAAAAAAAAGCACATAAAGAAACTGAAATATGAAAGAAGATAACAGCTATAGAAGTCTTACAGCAGCATAATAGACTATTGGTCATCACAGCAATTATTTCAATAAAAAAAACTGGAAAAGCAAGATAAACTATAAAAAAAATATGTGTCACAAAGCTCTAAAGAGCAAACAAGGCAGTTAAGATATATAGCTATTGGCAAAGATTTGGAGAAGTTATATAAAGGGAGATAAGCTAGGCATTTGGGAGCACATTTCTGACGTGCATCTGTCAGATGCAGAAAAGGCATTTGTGGTGCTGTAAAGTTAAGCAAAGCATTTGCTAGACTCATAGAGTTAGGGAGATAAAAATCATACTTTGGAGTGCAATAAGGAGAGTACCTGGGAAACCTTTCCCTTAGGCTACAGTTTGGGATTCTAAAGAGCTACAGGGAAAACCAAAAACCATATGCTCTCACTTATAAGTGGGAGCTAAGCTATGAGTACACAAAGGCATACAACTGATATAATAGACTTTAGAGACTCAGAAAGGAGAGGATGGAAGAGGAGCTAGGGATTAAAAAAACTACATATTAGATACAATGTACACTACTTGCATAATGGATGCGCTAAAATCTCAGAATTCACCACTATATAATTCATCCATGTAACAAAAAACCATTTATACTCCAAGTGCTATTGAAATAAATTTTTTAAAAAAATTTAAGAAAAGAGCTACAGAGAAGAAGTAAGTATGAACTGGAAGCAGACAGAGTTAATTTCATACTTCAGTATTCTCAATCCTGAATTGAATTAAAGTAAATGAGAGTTGCTAGTGTCCACAGCTGCACGGCAGAAACAAAATAAATCTTGTCTGGATGAAAAGAACATTCTTCCAGCTTCAAAATATCTCTATGATTTTTTAACTATTCAGTGACTCTCATTCATCATAAACACATTCATGTTTCGAAGTAAATGAAACAACATGATAGAAAACCAAGAGGAAAGAGCACACACGAGAAACAAACCCTTACTTATACTGGAGTTACCCATAGAGATGTTTAAATTACTATGTTTAATATGTTCAAACAGCTAAAAGGTAAGATTGAATGATTTACAGTAAAATGAATACAATAAAAAGTCAAAAAGAGATTCTATATGTAAAAATATATATCTGAAATTAATAATTAAGTGAAAACATTTAACTGCAAGTAGGCATAAAGAATTAGAAGAAAACTTACCAACTGAAGTATTGAGACAAAAAGAGAATCAAAAGAGAAAAGGGCAAAAGGGATTAAAGGATATAGTAAAATTAGTTGAGATATATGAAACCAGAAAACAAGAATAAAAGAAAAAGAGTATAGAAGAGATATTCTACAAACCTTAAAAAGTAAACAAGTCTCAAAACATTTCAAAGTACTATAATATTGAACAAACAGTATAAGCCAGCATTTTTTTAACAAGAAGATAACGAGTAGATCCCCTCATACGTTGGAAAATAAAAAACATATTTTGAAATAATCCATTATTCAAATAAGAAATTATAATGAAATTTAATTAAATGATAAAATATTCTTGTTAAAACTTATAGAATGAAGACAAAATATTACAAACATCACATAAGCTTAAACATGTATATTAGAAATGAAGAAAGGCTGAAAATTAATTATATAAACCTTCACTTCAAAAAATCAGAAAAAATTCCAATTAAACTCAAAGTAAGTAGAAAGAAATAATAAAAATAAAAGCGAAAATAATGGACAGAAATATTAATGGACAAATCAAGTATACAATAGAGAAGATTAACAAAACCAAAACCCAGTTTTCAAAAGGATTAACAAAATTTGTAAAACACTGCTGACATTGACAAAGGGAAAAAAGGGAAGGAATGTCCTAAAATCAAAAACATAAGAGAAAATATCAGTACAGATGCAATAAATGATAAACTATAAAATGGTCTGAAGATAAACAACTTTGTAAAAATAAACTTAAGAATGAATTAATTAAGTGGACAAATTTCTAGAAAAATACAACCTACCAAAGCTGACATAAAAGTAAATACAAAATTTGACTGTCTCATAGCTATTTTATAAAACTAAATTCATAATTAATTTAAGACTTCCCCAAGAAAATTCAAGGATCAGAGTCTAGCTGCTGAATTCCACCAAATTTTGAAGAATATATAATACACAATCTTACACATGTTCTTCCAGAGAATAACTTAGATACCAAAACCTGTTAATGGTGTTATAAGCAATAAGAATTACAGGCCACTCTTTTATAAATATAGATGGAATGATCCTCAGCAAAATATTAGCAAACCAAAAAAAAAAAAAAAAAAGGAAAGAAAGAAAGAAGGGTAATACTGAGTCAAAGCACGTCATGACAAAATACAACAATATGCTGTCTCCAAGAACTCACTTAGACTTAAGAACACACATAGGATGAAAATCAAGTGATAACAAGGGCATCTTTGCAAATAGTAACTGCAAGAACTGCAAAGTAACCCGCAACGGGTGTGTGTCCTTATCCCACACAAAATAGACAGTAAATCAAAACCTGTCATAAGAGGCTATGAAGGACGTCATATAATAATAAAAAGGTCAATTCACCAGAAAGATACAACAGTTATAAATATATGTTCATCCAACATCAGAGCACCTAAATAAATGAAGCAAACACTGAAAGAATTGAAGGGAGAAACAGCAACACAATAAGAGAAGGAGATTTCAATAGCCCAGTTACAATAATTTATCCATTATAAAATATCCAAATAGAAGATCAATAGGAAAACAGAGAACTTGAACACCATAGTCCCAATGGACCTAATAAGGCATATACAGGGCATTCCACCCAGCAACAACAAAATACACATTCTTCTCATATGTATTGTAGGAGAGTTCTCCAGGATAGATTACATGTTAGGTCAAAAAACAAGTCTTAACAAATCTAAGAAGATTGAGACCATATCAAGTATCTTTCCTCATAACCATGTAATGAAACTAGAAATCAATAGCAGAAAATCTAGAAAATTAACAAGGATGTGAGAATTAAACTACACCCTCTGGAATAAGCAGTGGATCAAAAAGAAATCCGAACAGGAATTTAAAAATATCTTGAGGCCACCACGGTTCCCAAACATTCGGATTCTGGGACTTACACCACCAGCTTTCCCAGTTCCCAGGACTTTGGGTTCAGATTGGGAGTTCCACCACTGGCTCCACTAGTTCTCAGACATTTGGATTCAGACTGAATTACACCACCAGCTTTCCTGGTTTTACATCCGGGGGTGGCAGATAGTGAGACTGCTCCGCCTCCAAAGTCATGTGATCCAACTCCCATAACAAATTTCCTTAGTCTTTTTTTTTTTTTTAATGTTGGTTCAGTTTCTCTGAAGAACGTTGACTAATACAAATGGATCATCACAATAGATACAGAAAAGACATTTGACAAAACTCAAACCCTTCCATGACTTAAAAAAAAACAACAACAACAACAACAAAAACCACTTAAAAAACCAGGAGCAGAAGGAAATTACCTCAACATAGTAAATCCATGTATAAATAGTCCACAGTTAACATCCTATTCAGCAGTGAAAAACTGACAGCTTTTCCTCTAAGATCAGGTATAAGACAAGATCATCCACTTTTACTACTTCTATTCAACATAATACTGAATGTCCTAGCCAGAACAAGTAGGCCAAAATAAAAAAAAAAAAGTGAAAAAGATACCTGAATGATAAAGGAAGTAAAATCATCTCTACTCACAGATGATATTACCTTATATGTGGAAAACCCTAAAGCATCTACAGATAAAGTAATAGTGTTGACTAATTTATTGTGCTATTTATCGATTACTGCATAGCAATTTCCCATTCATTTAGAGGCTTAAAACCAAACACATTTATAGTCTCACAGTTTCTCTGGGTCAGAAATCCAGCCATTACTTAGTTTGGTTCTCTGCTTCAGAGTCTTCCACGAAACTGTAGCAAAGTGCTAGCCACAGCTGCAGAATGTTTATGTTTAATGGGAGAAGGCCATGCTTCCAAGATCCTATGGTTGTTAGCAGAATTCAGTTCCTTATAGTTGTAGATATGATAACTCTATTTCTTGCTAGCCGATGATCAGAGGCTGTCCTCAGTTCTCAGTTGGTTATTGGCCTGAAGTCACCCTTAATTCCTTGCCAAATGGGCCTCCCCAACGTGACCACTTACTTCATTGAAACTAGCAAGGGAGAGAATCTCCCAGCATAGCGGACATTATAATCTTAACATATCACATTTGCCAAATTCTATATGTTACAGTTAAGTCACAGGTTCCATCCACAGGCAAGGGGGGATTATACATGGACATGAGTATTAAAAAAAAAATAGGACAGGGACAATTAGGAGCTATTTTAGGGTCTGTACACCACATTGTAAAAGATAGCTGAATACAATCAACATGTTAAATATTGTTTAATATGGTCAATATGTTAAAATTCCTTCTAGTATCTTTCGGGTTTATCACAGCAACTTTTCTGTTGTGAATTTCTATTAATGATAGAAAAGATATGGAATCAACCTAATTGTCCATAAGTCGATGGATAAAGAAAATGTGGTATATTACACAATGGAATACTATTTAGCTATAAAAACAGTAAAATCATGTCATTTGCAGCAACATGGGTGGAACTGGAGAATATTAAGTGAAATAACCTAGGCACAGGAAATATCACACATTCTCACTCATATGCGGAAGCTAAAAATGTTGATATTATAAATGTGGAGAGTATAATGATAAATACTGGAGGCTAGGAAGGGTGGGTGGGTGTCTAGGAAGAACAGATGAAGAGATGTTGGTTAATGAGTACAAATATACAGTTAAATAAAAGGTAGAAGTTCTATTAGTCGACAACAGAGTGACTATAGTCAAAAACAATGTATTGTGTATTTCAGTAGCTAGAAGACTTGGCTTGTTCCCAACACGTGGCAATAATAAATACTCAAAGTGATGGAAACCACAAATACCCTGACTTGATCATTACACATTCTAAGTGCATCACCAAATAATACCTGTACCCCATAAATATGTAATGTATCATGTATCAAGAAAAATAAAATTAATATGTCTATTAATTTTTTAAATTATTGTATAAAACCATTTTTGCTGGTATATAAAAACAGAAGTAATTTTTTTTTTTTTTTTTTTTTTTTTGAGACGGAGTCTGGCTCTGTCGCCCAGGCTGGAGTGCAGTGGCCAGATCTCAGCTCACTGCAAGCTCCACCTCCCGGGTTCACGCCATTCTCCTGCCTCAGCCTCCCGAGTAGCTGGGACTACAGGCGCCCGCCACCTCGCCCGGCTAGTTTTTTGTATTTTTTTAGTAGAGACGGGGTTTCACCGGATTAGCCAGGATGGAAAAACAGAAGTAATTTTAACACAGTAATACTAGAGATCATATTTAGATACATATACACATACATACAGAAAACCATAAAAACAATTATGACAATAATTTATACCAAAGTCTAGATAATGTTGCCCTCTGGAAATAAAAAGAAGAGTAAAGAATATAGGAGAGGCTGGGTGCGGTGACTCACACCTGTAATCCCAGCACTTTGGGAGCCCGAGGATGGCAGATCACTTGAGGACAGGAGTTCAAGACCAGCCTGGCTAACATGGTGAAACCCCGTCTCTACTAAATATACAAAAATTAGCCAGGCATGGTGGTGCACACCTGTAATCCCAGGTACTTGGCAGGCTGAGGCACAAGAATCCCTTGGACCCGGGAGGCTGAGGTTGCAGTGAGCCGACATCGCAACACTGCTCTGCAGCCTGGGCAATAGAGTGAGACTCTGTCTCAAAAGAAAACAATGTATAGTAGAGAGTCATAGATTTCTTCAACTTTATTTGTAATGTTTTTGTTTTTAAGTAAAAGAAAACTATTCTAATTTAAAAAGCAAATCATTTTTAAAATCGGGTAAAACTATATCAGATTACAGGATGGATCATTTATACTCTGAGTTATCTGTGTGTGAAATTTTCATTAAAATAAAAGACAAATGAAAGAGCAAAGTATGATCATTAGCAGCAATTCCACTCTGAAGCTCGTTTTTAGAAAAAAAGAAAGCAAGCTTTTTCTTCACACACAGCTAGGAAACACTGGATGGCAAGAAGTCACTTACCTGTGATATTCTCACTTATACATGGAAGCTTTAAAAAAAAGTTGATTTCATGGAGGCAGAGAGTAGACTGGAGGTTACCAGAGGTTGGGAAAGTCAGAGGAAGGGGATGATGAAAAGAGGTTGGTTAATAGGTACAAAAATACAGCTACATAGAAGGAATAAGTTCTCGTGTTCATAGTACAATAGGGTAACTATAGTTAACAATAATTTATTGTCTATTTTGAAACAGCTAGAAGAGAACATTTGGAATGTTCCCAACACAAAGAAATGATAAATTATTGAGGCGATGGATTTCCCAATGATCCTGATTTGGTCATTACACATTGTATGCTTGTATCAAAATATCACACATACCCCATAAATATGTACAAATGTTTCAATTAAAAATCGCTTACCTGTTTCTAAGAGTTGGATCAGGCTTAAATTGAGGATTAACTGTTCTGTCTGATTTATCGAGCAGCCACGGTTTGGAGACAGAAGTTTCTTAAAAGATCCCTGACTTCAGAGACTCTAGGAAAGAAAAGAAACTGAAACTCAAAGCAGCAAATGCTCAGCTGGCAGCATGCCAACTGCCACTAAGTTTCTTTTTCCTCACTAGGAAGAGAGCGAAAGAAAAAACAAATCCTGCTGAGCACATAAAAACGATAACTGGTCCCCTTGTAGCCCACATGTAGGCATGCATGAAATGATCACTACCAAGAAAAAACTGCAGTAAAGCTAATAGTGAACATTTCATGTGCATTTTTCTACTTCCCTCATTTTTCCTACATTTTTTAATTGGAATTTAGAGTTGTGCGTGGCACTGTGTAACTGCATACCTTTTCCTAATTTCTCCTCAGAACAACTGCATACCATAAACACTATGACTATCCCTATTTGTTAAAGTACAAAAAAATGATAATTCAGCTGAGAGAATCATGGAGCTGGATGGTATTCAAAGCCAAGCCTGTCTGCACTGGAACAAACAGATGAAGATTCAGCTTTTCCTGAATTCATAAGGCATTACGCTGTTCATTTTCTCATTTACCCCTTCACTCAGTCCACACTGGCATAGACCCTGGGGAAGGATAATGGTGGGTAAGATTTAAAAAATGAAAATTAAAATAAAAAACATGCCCTCAAAGAGAGTGCTGTATACTCAGGAAGACAGTCAGGCACAGACATCTGAATTACCGTGCTAAGTACTAAACAAGATTCTCTGAAAGCCAGGAGAACAGTAGCCTCATCCAGTCTTGGGGCACTTGTAAAAGACTTCCTAGCAAATTAAAGTTTAAACTGAGACATGAAGTGAAAGCAAGGAAGGCAGGAGAACATGGTATCATCAGGGCCATCCAAGTATTTCAGTCTGTCTGGAATGGAGTGAGAGCATTGGATTCATAAGCAATGGGGCTAGGGAGGTGACTAGGGCTGAAGAGGGCCTTGCAAGTTTTTAATTAAGTTGGATTTTATCATTAAGACAATGAGAAGTTATTAAAGCTCTAAAAGCAGAGGAATGGCATATCAAAATTGAATGTCTTCGGGAAAAAAAGGGTGTATCAGTTTTCTCTTGCTTTGTAACAAGTTATTACCATCCACAGGCTTTAAAACAATTCAAATATATTATTGCACAGCTTCCATGGATTAAGAGACTAGCATGACTCAGCTAGATACTCTGCTCAGGGTCTGTCACTCAAGGTGTTAGCCAGCTATCTTGTCATATCAATCTCCAATAAAAGGAATCAAGGCTACTTGGAGAAATGTTTGACTACAGGTCTGGGATCACAAAACTACAAAATGAACGTAGAATATCTTCTCATGCCAGAAAGTAAGAAGATGCTCAAAAACAAATGGGACATGTCAGAAGGCAGAGAAATGACCAAAAGGGGAACAATTTGAGAGAAAAAAAAATAAGAGTATTGGATTATCACCCATAGAATAAAATAAATATCTATACTGATATAAATAAATAAATGAGTAAGTAAATAAATGAGTGAGAAATCACAACTCTAAATTCCAATTAATGCAGGAAAAATGAGGGAAGTAGAAAATCAGTATTAGGTAAATTCTATAGTAATAAATTTTTACAGGATGATCCAGCAATGTATGCTAAAATTAATGAGTATAAATTTAGAGAGAAATAGAATATTTCTATAGCCTCAAAGACTCTCCCCTGGTATATTTATTAATTTCAAAAGAAAAAAATAGTCACTTTAAAGTGGATAAATCCTGCAGATACCACCTTAACTAAATGATCAAGGATAACATTGCCAGGATGGGCCTGTTGATGCCAGGCACTCCAGTTATCATTCACAGAGAAGAGTGCATCGTTTGTGTGGTATTTTTGCATAACTTTCATCTAATCATGAGAAAACATCAGACAGACTCAAACTGAAGGACATATTATAAAATACCTTCCCAGAATTCTTGAAGTGTCAAGATCCTGAAAGACAAGGAAAGACTAAGGAACTGTCACAGACTGGAGGAGACTAAAGAGACAGCTAAATACATTGTGAGATCTTAAATGGATCTTGGGACAAAGGCCACTAATAGAAAAACTAATGAAATTTGAATGAGGTCTGTGATTTAGCTAATAATATCATACCAATGTTAATTTCTTGGTGTTGATAATTTTACTCTGGTTATGAGGAATGTTAATTTTAAGGAAAGCTGAATCAAGGGTATATGAAAACTTTCTGTACTATATTTCAACTTTTCTGTAAGTGTGAAATTATTGCAAAAAAAAAAAAAAAAAAAACACCCACAAAAATTAAAGGACAACTTTCCTACAAAGAAAATCCCCAACCCCCAAGACTTTGCTAGTGAAATCTTTTAAATATTAGACAATGAAGAGGTCCTGGCAGGCTGATAGCCAGACCATGGGCGTGACTGTGGCTCACAAAACGCCAGAAAAGTGCTCATGGCGCTGCACTGGTAACAACTGCTGGAAATTCACACTCTGTGCTACTGGGGAAAGCTGGTGGCAGGGAAATGTCTCACCTGAGTCACCATGCTTCAAAACCACCTTAGGGGGATACTGAGGAAAGCTGAAAGCTGCTAGGTGCTGCTGGCCACCATGGACTCACTGCAGGAGCTTGGCACTGGAATAGCTGTGCCTGCTGCAGAAGCTGGGCCCTGAGAAGTAACACGTGCTTCAAAATCTGCGGAACCCCAGAGCAGAACTTTCTCTTGCAATGTCTCTTCAGCGCCCTCTACTGACAAAGTTAAGTTTCTGCCGGCTGACAAAAGAAAATAAACATTTAAAGAGACTGTTTACGTTTTCAGAGACTGGGCAATGCATGACTTTGGAGCGGAGGGAATAAATTGATAACTGGAACAAAAGAAAATGAAACTAGAAGACATAATATTATAAAAGTATTATGAAACCATCATAAACATGTGCAATGGTCTGGATGTTTGCATCAGCCCTCCAAATTCA